ATGTGCAACAAGATTTTATGTGTGCTGAGGGAGAAGGGAGAATGTGCCAGAGACAGCGGAGCACCAAAGGAGGGAGCGTGCAAGCCTGTTCAGGGTGGGGACTAAGGAAAGCCTCTGTACCAAACACCTACACTTAGTCTTGAAAGATGGGCCTGTGGTTCCAGGAAGGCTGGATTAAAGAGAACACTCTAAGCCATGGACGCGGTGTGAGAGAACGAGTGGAGGCAGCCAGTGCCAATCAGATTGCTATAAAGAGTCCAGACACTCATCATTTCCACCAGGACAATTGCAACAACCTCCTCCTCACCGCTATTTGTTATGATGCCATGATTCTCGTTCTCTTGGACAAGCTTCAAGATTCTAGAATAGTCAAATAAAGAAGGAAAAAACAGGATCCAAAGCAATAAAATACATAAAAGTTCACAGAAGGACAGCCTGACCATAGTAGAAATATCAAGAAAGAGAACACATGTGGAGCTTTTGCACAACTGCTTTTGATCTAGCAGTTTGCTTGGGTCATAGTTGTGGGTTATTGCTCTTGCTGATACAACCTTGTCACTGCCATTGTCCTTGGTGCTCCGCTGATGCTTGGCAGGCCCTAAGAGACTGACAGGTGCCAGTTGTTAGCAAGACACACCAGAAAGCGCAGATTTGTCAAGGTTGAGCCCTTGGAATGACTGCCTGGCTAGCTGGCTGGCAAAAGGGGGTTGGGGTGAGGGGTCGGGAAGAAAAATCTTCAAAAACAAGCTCTGGGAGCTATTTTAAAATGCAGGGTCTATAGCATCTTTTAAATGAGGCTTTGCTGAAAAATTTACTTTAGAATTGAGAGGTGGGGTGAGGGCAGAGGGGGTGGGGTGGAGATGGAATTATCAAGGAAAGCAAAACAGATGTTAGATTGGTTTTCTAAAACCTGTAAAATGCATGCCTGTATTTAAGTATATATATATATATATATATANGAGGTGGTCATCTGCAAGCCAGGAAGAAAGCCCTCAGCTGCTCTAGAGGATGTGACGATGAATAAGCCTTAGTCCCTACTCATTGTCTTTAGAATCTGATAGGCTGGGTCTGCTGACAAACAGGCATGTAAGTAATATTACCATGATTTTGTAAGATACACCATCAGTGTGTATATCAAATGTAATGCTGGGACAAAAAAAGCAAATAATTAATGATTCCTCTCAGGAGGAATGGGGCTTTGTCTAGGAAGACTTCACAGAGGAAGCGCTATGAAAAACTTGTAGATGAGTCTGGAATATTCAGGCCAACGAAGTGGAATGAGGTGAGCATAGAGCCTGGGAATCTCAAGCTTACTGCACTCTGATCATTCTTCCATACCACATGACTGCAGGGTAATGAATAACGTGTGCTCACTGGAAGGGTATTTCATATATTGCCTATGGGTAAGTGAACTAATCCTTTCATAAAGCAATTTGGTAAAATAAATCAAGAACCATACAATGGCCATACATCAGATCTAGTAATCACACCAGTGGGAACCTATCATGAGAAAATAACAGGAAATGTGAAAAGGATTATACACATGAAGATAGTATATATTAGATAATTAAAAGAGGGGAAGAATTAAAACATGAGCCTCCAAAGCACTTCATTGAAATATAGGTAAACCACAGTACATTTATGAAGGGGATTATTTATTATACAGCTATTCATGTTGAATATTATATGACAACTTGGAAATATTTATTCATAGAATGCTAAATGAAAACATAAAAATCTGTGTGAAGTATGATCAAGAAATAAGGTGAATGTTTACATTTTTAAAAATTTATTACAGTACAAGACACGTTGCCATTAATCCCCCTCAAAATACTCGCCCTCACTTCACACACACTTATCCCATCATTCTTGCCACTTTCTGAAGCAGTTCTGGAAGTCCTCTTTTGTGAGTTTTTTCTATGACATTGAGGCTCTTTCTTATAGATTAAATTCAGGTTTACGGTTTTTATGCCAAATTCT